TCTTGCTTGCTGCCGAAAAATCCAGAAAAAGAAGCGGCAATACGTAAAAATGCCGACTGTGTACAAGGATCAACTGCCGGGATTTGGGGACGATGGCGAAACGGTAGGAGCACTGGAGTACTCCTTAGAATACATCTCAAAAACCAGTACACTGAGAGTCGGCATTCTACAGGCCTCGGATCTTATCACGCCACCAGGTTCAGGGCCGATTGATCCTTATGTAAAGGTCAGTATCCAGGGGGTGCCTTCGCTGGGGAAGCCAAAGTCCAAGAAGAGAGTAAAAAAGATCATCCATGTAACAGATATTCAATGGGACACCACCTGCCCCATTTTCAATTCTGCCTTTGATTTCAATTTACCCTATGCTGATCTCAAGACGGCCATTCTGCACATGGTAGTCTATGACTCTGATGAGCCTAATCAACCTGTACTAGTTGGAGGATTAAATGTCCAGCTATACTCTCTGCCTTTGGAAAATTACGTTGGGAAGACCTACGAGGCGACAGGCTATCTCAGGAAGACGGCCGACTTCGTGGAGCAAACCGGTCAGCTTTGTGTTGTTCTAACATACGATCCAGATGAAGCTGTGCTCAGTGTCAACGTTCTAGAGGCGAAACAGTTGGACCTTCCCGAGTTCTACAGAAAGCATCCGCCGGAAACAATGGTGTCAGTGACTCTTCATACTGGTAAAAAGAAGTTTGCCAATAAGAAGACACACATCCGAAGCGGAACTCTGGACCCCTACTTTGGGGAGACGTTGAAGTTCCATGCGGTGAAGCAAAAGTTGATAGTGGCCTCGCTTACACTGAAGGTCAAGTACAGGGGTCAGGTATTCAAGAACGCCGGCAAAGTTATACTGGGGCCTGATGCCTTGCAAGCCTCCGGCCGACGACAATGGAGAGAAATGTTAGCCAATCCAAAACGTCCCGCGGGCATGTGGCAAATCTTGTCTTCTCCCGAAAAATAAGTTTAAGGAATGAAGTTACGCGATTACTTTTCACAAAATGATGACAGTCTGTTTGCCTTCGCTAATACAAGTCTTAAATCTCATGGACTTGTAAGTTTGTCTAAACTTTTCGCCAACGGTGAGCAGATAATCCAGCGTATTTATTCAGTTCCACAATCATCAACCTGTAGAAATGGTTAAAATTCGTGAGTTTCGCTTTTTCTTACCCCCTTTCAATGCTTCCGTTGTCTGTCGCCCTCTTTTTAATCTATTTGATTAATAAAGTAACTGTTGGGGTGTTTAACTTGTTTTTAAACCTTATTATTAATTCAGGTGCCTTGTGCTTTAGTACGTCAACGACCTGTTTGGAGTGCAGTTTAAATGTATGCGTCGTGCATACTGATGAGGATGGCTCTATGGGATCTTGGTTAGCGTTACTCTGCACTACGATCGGATGCCTTTGGTAAAGGGTGCTGTTCGAAGTGTTTTTTTCGTTTGTCTGAACTACACGCTCACTAGTTCGGTCTATCAACGGTCTTGAAATCAAATAGGGCATTGAGTTCAACTTTACGCTTCCGTCAGTTTTATCCGCAAAGCTGTGTCGTTAGGAGGCACAATTGTAATACACAGAAAGAAGAGGTCGTGCAATTGGCTTTCTATAGGAATGTTTGCTCACAGTTGCTAAAAATGGCCGCCTTCTAATGACTGAATTGGGTCGTTAAGTGCTGGCCGACAGCCTTAGGGAGTTCATTTGCGAGACCCAATATGAATTACAAGGCCAGTTGGCCTTTAGAATTCAGTTAGGTTACAAGCACCTGCCGTCCGATGGACGTCAAGGCAAAAACAGTAAGGATAACGTATATTGCTCCCTAAACAGGACATGATAAAGTGGCTGGTTTTGTGGTAAGAGTTACGCTGGGGTAAGGATCAGTTTTAGCTGAAAGATTAGGATTATGATTTAGATTTATATGAAGTCTAGTGCTGGACACAGGACGCCTGTGATTGGCTGGCCCAGAGGCAGCTCGGGATCTGTAATCACGTGAGCTGTTGCGTGACATGTGTGTTCATGTCCAATGCACATGCAGATTTGAGAACGTGCCGATAGCCACAGGAACTGCTCAAGACCAAGGCAAGATTGATGCTTCGATTAGCGCAGAAGTGTCGTTGGACCATCAGCCAGAGGGTGGGCGGGCGTGATCTTTTCAACGTATGCCGATGTGTTAGCAGGCCGATAGGAGAAAAAGGCGTTTGTCCAGTGCAGTGGAGCCCATAGAATACTTAGCCAGACGAAACCGGTATGGAAGATTTTCACCGTCGTCTGTGCTCGGAAATGG